AGCGGAGAGATGCAATGGTGTGATATGGAAAGCAGTTACTATGAGTTTGAAATCCAAGAACCTACCTCTCAGGAACTGGCAAGATGTCCTCGCGGATGTGCTACACTCCGTCCGCTCTCTTTTGTGTACTGCCACCAATGAAACTCCACATGAGCGATTCTTTGGTTTCTCACGCCGATCGTCCGCTGGCGCCTCCATTCCTACCTGGCTAGCGACACCTGGGCCACTGTACATGAAACGTCAGGTACGCACAAGCAAGATGGACCCTCTGGTGGAAGAGGTGGAACTACTCCAAGCAAACCCTCACTACGCGCATGTGCGTTATCCTGATGATAGGGAGACAACAGTAGCCACGAAGCACCTTGCGCCGAAGGGCCAAGTTGTTGAGACCCAGCCAGCACCAGAATGTATTCCCGTGGAAGCAGAGAACTTGCCAGTTGACACATCTGTGGGTGTTTCGCTTGATGCAGAACCATCGTCTGCGCCCGAACCTCCACCTGAACCTCAACCTGAACTTACACCTGCACGGAATGTGGAACCTGCACCTGTTCGTCGCTCCCAGCGAATTCGTCGTCCAGTAGTTAGACTCAATCTTTAAGGACAGGGTGAATGTGGTAAATGACATTGCGAACTGAGCTATGAACTAGGAACATTCGAACTGCTAGTTTTGTGATAATTCGTGTAGTGTATATGTAGTGAGATTTGTCCTTATATAAGAGCCTGCAATCCTCGTGGTTGTAGTTTTACCGCCATGTTGCATGGAATGAGATTTGGTGATTAAAGCCTGATTTTTCCGGCAAACGTCTTCCTTAGTTCACTACAGACTGCATACTTTCAATCACTGTTTTCCATGTGGCTATGGTTTTAACCAAACGAACTAAGGGAGAGAAGGCGGTGAACTTACTGTCCGCCATGTTTTTGTAGGGTTTGTTAAAGGTAGGGAATCTGGAATCCGGAATGCGGAATTCGCAATCCTTTCAATGTCACCTGTTGGAGGGAGCATATTGTATAGTTTTATACTTTCTTTATTAGCCGAAACTCAATTCGCATTACAATAATTATTTCATCTTTAACTTTACAGGATATTGAACAGAATGTCTCATGTTAAATGTTAAACAAGAATCGCCGAAAGGAGATTTTCAACTGGGCTGCAAAGGGGCTATTTTTTCAGAGGGGAGGGGGCGGCTATACACACTCAGGCTACCATAAAACCTTGTGGGCAACCATTGCATGCAACAGAATCTCATATGAGACTGAAACATAAACTCATTCAGAACATTGTACCCTTTTGAAAGACTTTCGTAACCCCCAAAAAAGAGTACCATTTTTAAGTGGGGGCTGTATAATAACTTTTAAATTCCACCATTATGAATAAAAATAAACAAGTTAGCCATTAATTCTAAATAGGAAACAATTTGCATTATTTCCACGCACCCCTCCCCCAATCCCTCTGTGCCCCAAAATATAGCGTGACAGTATAACGTGACTAATTTGACGTAACCTGAAATTCCAAAAATTGTTGTCCTTCTACGAGCATAAAATGCGACAGATTGAGCTGATTTACACTAGACAGGAATATTGTATTGTATGAAAACCAGAAGTATACTAAAACAGACAGTTAACTGCCCATTGATCCCGCCTGATCCAGGGGCCTCACTGACTGCATGGAGACTTTACTGCGCTTTTCACAAACATGCGAACTCTAAAGTTCAAAAGCCACCTTCACAATTGTGTTTATCGCTGCCCGTCAATCATAATTACGATCACAAGCAACGAACCTTGAAACAGAGAAACACACAAAACGGATCGAAATCCACAAATCACAAACCATGACCTTTTGAACCCGTGAAGTAAAGTTTTGTTTCCTAAGAGGTCCGTTAAGATGATTGACAGCAGCGAAAAACGCAATCGTCGGTTGGGTTCTGAACTTCAGAATTTGCATATTTGTGAAAAGTGCCATCCTAATTTGCGGTCCACAGTCTACATGAAAACGCACTATATTTTACACAAGATGAGAAGTATCCAGTTTTAAGATTTTCCTCACGGTATTTTTCTCTAACTTAAAGGAATAAAATCCTTTTCATTTTGAGACCTAAAAAAGTTTAAAGATTTCTCGCTCGCATGTTGCGTTCACCAGCACTCACTTCAAACAATGCAAATAGATGAAACGATCGATAACATATTTTTTACCTGATACCGATGTGAGTTAAAATTCGCTCCAGTTCTGTTTGTCTCACGGCAAGACTAACTTTTCTTCATGGAAGATAACTATGCCACTTTATAACTCGTCCGAAGTTTTTGTGCCAGCTAAACAAACACTATTCACAGTGACTCCTTGGATATTAAAAAGACTGAACGTGACGCACTATTATGCCTTTGTTTACTTCTGATCACATCTTCAAGCGAAGTCTCTCTGTTCATCTCAATGCACAATAATTGACCCTTATATTAGTTAAAATCCTATCGGTTCATTTATATTAATGCTGTTTTTGTCCCTCACATTGACTGTGTTCGTTCGTATTCAAAACACCTTTACGAAAATAAAGGTCGTATAAGTCATGTGTGTTATGTTTCGAGATAAATGGATTATACGCTTTTTTAAGTTTCTATTTTGCGATGACTTCAGTTTACATCTCCATAAAATGGTAAAAGAAATATAAAGAAACATCACGAGAGCTAAAAATTTTCAAAGGCGTGTTTCTGAAACTCGCTAATGCTGACATCAATATAGCGTGCTTGCTGAATGGGCGAAAACACAGAATGGTGATCACAAGATCTTGTACAAATTTGATAACAAAGCTTAGCAAGATACAGATTCAAACAAAAGCAAACCCCCTGAAACCTCGACGTGGGCTACACTTGTATGCTCTACTCAGTCACCAAACCTTGTCAGTAATAGCTCCTATTTTCCTCAAGTCGCTCTCTCTGAAGCTCCCGGATGGGATGTCCCGGAGAAGCTTTAAACTTGTGTGCGAAATTCTCAGAGTTCCTATTTTTGTCCGTGTCTTCTTTATTCTCAGTATCCGAAATTTAGATCTCCAAAGTGGCGTGTGTTGCATTAAGTAGAAGGAAATATTTAAAGGAAAAGCCAGTCTTCTAACATGGCAAAGTTGTCACGTCCCTCGCTTATGGACGTGCGTCACATCAGGATTCATCTGCCATTCATCGGCAACTGAGTTGTTCGCTTCACTGACTATGACGGCTTACAATCAAGTCTTCAGCCATAGTGTCGTCAACTGGTGAAATACTTTGCTCATAAATTGTGCTTCTTAATTGCTCATGTACTACATCGATCGATAGTTCACGAAGCAGCCACGGCGTTCCAAACCTGACGCTCACAGTCATCTTTTCAGTCTTTTAGTGTGAACCTACCGTGAACGGCGTATCGCCGTGAATGCAACGCGAGCATTTCTCTGAGTTTCCCAGCGCCAACATCATCTGACTGACTTAAACTCGAACAATAAAAAAATTATGGAGTTACTCCCATGGTCGGATCGCTTCGAACAACGCAAATAGCCTGCTTCAGGTTCGCAACGCCTTGTGGGTTTTTCAAGGGGAGCGCAGACAAGGTACAAAAAGTATCCGTGCAAGGGTTCATGCAAGAGAAAATCCTATGAAACCATTTGTGAGAAAATCGTTTCTACGTACCAGACCCTCGTGTTTTCCCTCCCCCGGATGACCGTTCTTTGACGCCGACGACCGAAAACCCATTTTGTGACTGGGCTTGCCGGGCAGCCCAGTAATCAGTTCTTTCAACTGAAGGCTTTTTGTCAAAACAGATAGTTTTTTTTACTCATTATCACCATTGTACTGTTCTCGTGCAAGTTACCGCCTTCAGGTCTTTCCTCTGTGATCAAAGACTGATATAAATTAAAGGCCAAGTTTTAATTTGAACGAGTTTTTATTTGTTTCAGTGCAATATCTGGCGTATATTTACCACTTTGTAAAAGAATGGCGCAAGAACCCAAAGTGGTCATTGTCCTGCTGCCTGGCCTTGCTATTGCCACTTAATCAACTACAAGGAGAGATACGCGGATTTACTGAGAAGAACATAATGAAGCAGCAACTGCAAACTGGTAACATCGAGATGCCAACGATTGGTAGTACTTTAAGGGAGAGTGGGGCAGTTGATGTTACTCTTGAAGAACATGCAGAACGAGAACAAGAGGAGGCAACAACTGACGAGAAAACCATTGCAAAGGGCGTTTCGACAATTACAAAGGTGATCTGTGCTAGTACTTTAAGGGAGAGTGGGGCAGTTAATATTGCTCTTGAAGATTATACAGAACGAGAACAAGAGGAGGCAACAACTGACGAAAAAACCATTGCACAGGGCGTTTCGACAATTACAAAGGTGATCTGTGCTAGTACTTTAAGGGAGAGTGGGGCAGTTAATATTGCTCTTGAAGATTATACAGAACGAGAACAAGAGAAGGCAACAACTGCCGAGAAAACCATTGAACAGGGCGTTCAGACAATTGTACAGGTGGTTATTCATAAACCTCCAAGAGAAACTTACGACACCAAACTCTAATTAGGACCAGTTTTTAAAGCGGAGTTAGCCAGTGTTTAACATAACCGTGTTCGCATCAATTTTCAGTTTGCCCAATGCTTTTATCTTAACACTATTTATCGTGAAAAGTTTCATGAAAGCATGAGGTGTGCAGTGGAAAAGCACTTATTTTCTTCTTAACTGAAATAACCCACTACCGAAGATATCTGCTTGGAGGTCCAAAGCTTTACTAAACCTCGGCCTCGATTAGACTCCGTTTGAATAACCGATCCTAAGTATATAAACGTGTCTGACTGGTTAAAAATGAAGTTCCACTACGTCTTCTTTCTCCTTAAAGAAGGATAAAAAAATTATCCAACATTAGGTAAAGTAAGAGATAAGAATCATGAATTAGGATTGAAATCATTCTCTCGTTTGAGGCAGTAAATGTTATGAGTAGCGATATTTCCTCTTACTGACAGCAACCTTGGCTCTAAGTTACAACTTATCCAAGTTGTACAAGATGTTTAACAGAATAATTGATTGATAATGGTAAGGGCTCTTGACTCACTCTAATTTGACCTATACAATTGAACCTCCCGTAAGTGACCCCCTAAAATGCGAAGAATAAGTGGTCGCTTCCATAATGTGGTCAGTTATGAGAGTCAAAGGAGGTCTTTTGACAGGACTGAGAAATTCGGATACATCTAATTTTTTGAAAGAATGTATTGAACTTCATTTTTAGGTTACGGTATTTGTAAATCCATGTTATTTTTTTCTCTAAAATTTCTGCTCATATTCTGAGTTATTCTGAGTAGAATAGTACATACAGGGAAAGCAAAGATCAGACCATTGTTTCTTTTATTTCATTTTATTATTTTGCCACACAGAATAAATTACAAGTAGAATAGAAAAGATAATAAATAGTTACACCTAATTGCAATAAGGTTGTCATAGAAAAAAAGCAAAAAGCAAAAAGCCAAATAGGAGTTAATTAGCATGTATTTATCATTGCTTGCAACATTCACAACACAAACGCTTATAGGTGAATATTAATCACGTAATAATGAGACAAATCATTTGCATCAGTTTCTTGCTGTCATTCTAATGCAATTCGAGGCTGATTCATCCAGCGGATTTTAAACGTGCTCTAATTACAAACGTAAATTGGATAACTACTAAAGAAAAGATGGCTCCATTTTTTTCAATAGAGGGAAGTTATCACCAGGCCAAACACGTCATTCGGGAAAATGACATTGCCTTCCGTTGCTGTCTTCAGCCCCATGCGTGTATCTTGCATGCTTTTGCGCAAATTTCACCAGAAAACTACGAAGGGTATTTGAGAAACTCTGACTATGAGTGACAATTCGACAGTAGTAGAGGAGGCACCGGTTACTCCTTTTCTTTGCGGGCGAATTTCATTAACTTGCGGGGGAATACATTAACGCCGGTGACATGTTTAAATTAATGCCGATGACGTCACGCATGCTATTAAGATAGGATGATGTCATAGTTTATTTTTAGCTGGTAAGGAGCAAGTGACGTCAGAATTTCCTAGAGTTGACGTCATCAAAAAATGTTGAGATCATAATCTATAAACAGAAAAGTGATTTTTATATAATTAGCTATTTGCTATAGTCTTCTGATTAGATATTGTTTGCTCTAGTCTTCTGATTGGATATTGTTTGCTCTAGTCTTCTGATTGGATATTGTAGAAACTGTTATGTGTTCAAAATCATGAGGCGGGCAAATTTTGAACGCGTTATCCTTGCAGATTATACTAAATGAAAAATCTTTAATCATTAAATTATTTTCACTAAAAATCGGTTATAAACAAAACCAAGACACGGAGGTTAACTGAAAAATCTTTACTTCAAGAGAAGGGAAAAGGAGGTTAAGCGAATGCGAAAACGTACTAATTTTTCAGGCAAAACATGAAAACGAGGTCGAAGCTCAGCGAAGCGAAAAACTGCCTATCAAGCAAAAATGTCAATCTTTGTTTACTTGACTCTGTAAAAAGTATTGCATAGGGTATAAAAATTCTATAGAAAACAACAGGTGGTTCTAAAGTTAACCCTAACTCTTTTGGTTCTTGAATAAATTCCATTCTAGTAACGAATAAGTGGAACGTCTATTTAAAAAAAAGATAGGAATAAGAGGTGCGATCGCCTGGCAACACATGTCTTCTTATTCCGTGGGATGCCTGTGGCACTCCCACGGTAAAAATCCGGTTCGGTTGTACCCAAAATTGCAAAGCCAGCCAATAGGATTGCCTAAAATCTTTATCGATTATCTCTTCTTCCAATCCGACCAATCAGATTGTACAAAATCTGTATCGATTTTTAATCGATTTGCTTCCTCTGAAGAACGTTGGAATCAGAAAATTCCTTGCTAAATTTGTCGCGCTTGAGTTTTCCCACTCGTGGTTTAGGATGGCTTGTTAACCAGCGAAATCCTTCGGGATACTGACAAGTCACGAAAGGCGACCTAAGCCGAATTATTTCTTTCCTTCATGATTCTTTTTTGTTTAGGTCTAGCCTTTTCATAAGGTTTTAGTAGCGTCTGGTTGCGGGCCGTGATTTCCGATAGATTTTTCTATTCGGAGTTCGCCAGTTTTTGCCGAGCACAGCTCGAGTTCAGTTTTTTTCTTTTCTTATGGAAAACACCTTGACGATGGGAGGTTAAATCGCGTAGATTTCAACTCGTACCCTTGACGATTGGCGGTGAAATCGCGAAAATATTGTCCTCGTCGATCGACGACTCGCTTTCGGCATGGATTGGACTTCTGGATGGGACACGGATCAGGACCTTAGTAAACTTATTATACCTTGGAATCAGGGAAAATCATTGCAATGTTAACTTTGAGACCTTGTAAACACATTGCAATTAATTTTTAACCGTATCAAGAGCATCTTGGAATATTAAACTTTCATCTTGGATTAAAACATTGGAACTTTATCGAACTTTGAAACCGTGGGTTCGACCCTGGATAAAGCAAGCGGGTGTTTTGTTTTGTTTTGTTCCATTAACCTAAAACTACAATGTTTATTTCTCTTTGAAAAAGTTACCTGTGGCTCCTTACTACCAAGATATGACGTATCTTTATACATATAGTTCCTGTTCAGGTTAATCAGAGAGCATTATGCGCATGTTCTCCATTACTTGTTTCCGTCAACATTCCAATTTAAGTTACACAGGTAAACCTCGTTTTGATGCAAAATAACTTATTTTTCTTATCCAAATCGTGCTTTGAAAATAACTACATAGCGATAGATCAAAACAAGATCAACTCCATCCTTGCGACCACTGACAACTATAAATTTAGCTTGCGTAGCAGGTGTCGAAAGGGGTAGGGGATAGGGAAGGGATGTGGATTGGGGAGAAATAGTAGCCTGTCACGCAGGCTACTATAAATTCAGTCATAAGCACATTAAACCAACCCATACAGGTAACCTACTCATCGATGCTCATAACATGACACTTCTTTCCGGTTTCCCTAATTTTTCCAAATTCAGATAGAACGCCATTATGCTTCCATAGACCAACGCATCCCACGGAAACGACTTTAGGCGTCTTGTTTAGTGCTAAAAATCGGATATATAAACAAAACACACACACACATACACAAAGTGGAGCTGAAAACTCTCTATTTCAATTTCGACTCACCAATACAAAAGCGTTTTCTCCGTTCCATCTCGAGGAAACGACTAACTATTGAAGTCTCAGCCCTTGCACTTGATAAGCTTGTGGTCTTGCGCGCCGTTAGTCAGTTAATTATGCGAGGTCACAAGCCCAAAGTTGAATACAAATTAGTTGATCTCTACAGCTAGACCCAAGGGAGCACCTTGACGTATTATTATATAAACAATTTTAAATAACTTAACAAGGATCAATTTGAACACGCGACTAATAATTGCTAGCAATAAAACCACAAGAGAGATACCGTTTTAAAAACTTTATTAAAAGTCAATAACAAAAAGAGTCAAATACACAGCGATTTGAAAGGAAAAGGAATGAAAATTAATAATCTTTGACTGACTATTACAAATCAGTTTTTTTTCCGTTCTATTTCGAGGAATAATAAATAATCCTTCCGTGTCTACACAATTTTCCTATTGCCTCGAAGCCAAGAGTTCGACTTTCTTTGTTTCTTGCGCTTTGTCTTGTTCTTTGTAGTCGGTCTTTTAGCTTTTGCTTCAAAAGAGGCTTCATTTCTCTGTGATCTTGACAGTTCGCAGTACACCGTTTCTTGTGTCTGTACTGGTTGCGATAGTGATTTTTTTCCGCAATTATCCGCTTCACTTTCGTAAACGACGACTTTGACTTTAGGTTGCAGTTTCGCCTCTTGTAAATAGTGTCTTCGCTGTATGTGGTCTAACTGATGAACATCCGCGAGATGGTTTAACCAATAGCTAATCTGACAAGGTACTTCGCCCCACACGATGAAACAGGACAGTTTCTGCAAACTCTCTTGTAAACCATGTTGACAGTTCGATTGCTGAACACAAATGACATCTTTTTTCGCAAATAGTCAGGTTATACAGAGTGTCAGAAAGGCCAAACACAGGTCAGAAAGGCCATAACCAGGCCTGAAAGGCCAAAACCAGGCCAAAAAGGGACAAAAGGAGACAAACTAGCCATTTCTAGTCATCAGGTGGTCATGTGTCTTTATTTTCTCAAACACACGCGTGGGTGTCGAGCGCCGCTAGTCACGCAACAGCTCTCAACATTGGAATCATCATCTTTATTCAGGGTAATCACAAATAACAGTGCCTAATTAAAAAAGTTTTGATCGTGAATTAGTAATTGGTATTTCAAATTCAGATTTTTTTAAATTTAAAGTTCGTTTGGCCTTGTTTTGTTAAGTGTAGGTCGATGTGGGGTGGATGTATGTATTATTTACGAAAGAGAACGCTTAGCCAAACCCTGCCTTCACCAATTTTCTATAAAAGAGACGCGTTGCTTTCTGAAGTTTAGTTTCCTATCAGAACGCGTGCGGTGCAAACCAAAGATGACAAGCACAGGCTATACCTTATACCTTC